AGGCGGCCGCGCGTGAGGCGGCGGCGCCGCTGAGCCGCGCGGAGCAGGCGGGGCCGCGGCGGGGCTCTCGCCTTTGCCGTTCGCCGGTTCCGCGCCCGCAGCTTGGCGGCCGAGGTGGAAGGCAGCTCGTCCGTGTGCCGAGTCCCGTGTGCCGAGACTCTCAAGAGGCAGGTGGAAGGTGCCCCTGCAGCCTGCACTTCAGTGCGGGGCACTTTAAATGCATATATAATCTTTCCATTTGGAATGATTGGTGATAACTGTTCAGAGTTCAGCTTTGAAACTCAACTCCAATAGTGAATTCTGACGGTGGATGGTCAATCACCTGTGGTTCAGTTGAGCAGAAAGGAGGGAGGGGATGAATGTTAAAATAGCACTGGTAGGCCAAAAAGCCCCTATTGCTTAACAGTGTTTCTCAGAAGGTAGCAGACATATCCTTGTGTGCAATGTAAACCTTAAAATAGATGATTCTGACTTGTTCCAAGATACACAGGTCAGGATCTAACCACTGGATGTTAATAGGAAATTAAACGGGAGAGCTGCTTTTGTTCTACCTTGTTGAGGTGCCTGGCGTGAGTCCTGGAGCCACTGGCAACCCCGGCCCCGGCTCTGAACGATGTGGGACCCTCACCAGCCTCACATGAGACCCCCCCAACTTCTGTGTCGGCAATTTCCCAGTGCTTAAACTACATGCCTTAATACTGCTGAGCAAAAGGATGAATACAGCTGTGCTCTGCTTTGAGCTTGTTGTTGTTGAAGAGGATGTTGCTGAGTTACTTGATGTAAGAGTTAAAGGAAGAGGTGATCTAATTTCTTCTTTGCAAGCTTTGCCAAAAGTCTGTTGCAGCAGATTCTGCTACTTATTCTGTTGGTTCAGCCACCTGATACACCAGAGTTGAGCTCTTTCTATTTTACTCTGGGCTGGTTTAGAAATGCTTTGTATCCATTTTGCATGTATCAAAGAGAAAAATGTGGTTCAAGTAGTAAAGGTAAGGCACTTCTTTCTGGATGTTAGCCAAAAAACCTGCAAGTGTAGCATGAAATTGCTTCAAATTCTGCAAAAAGTACTTGGGAAGCTGTTAGTTAATGCAGTAGTTATAGCTGAAGTTGTATATATGTGTGAGATCAGAGTAAAACCAGAGAATCTGAAAGACTATATTTTAACAAAATAATTTATGCTGTATATGACATCATAAACAGCAGAGAAAATGTTTGTTTCTTCCTCACCTGATTCTTCTAATTGTAGAGTTAGAATAAGGATACAAGCAAAAATGGAAAATCAAAAGGTACAGAAAACACAGTGTGGTAAGTTTCCTAAAATATTTTTTTTCTCTCTTTTTTTCTTCCCCTGGCATCTCATCAGCACAACTTAAGCAGACTAACGGGCCTATCATGTGATACTGAACTACTGCAGAAATGTTCTTTTCTTCATTCTTCTGTATTTTTGGATTCTCTACTGGGATAGATAAAAGGCAAATCTAATGATAAAATTTCAAATAGCAACTAAAGCCTGCAGAAAGTCATGCTTCTGCTAATACTTAGGCACATTTTTTGTAGTTTGTTTTAATAAAAGAAAACCTTAGATGTGCTAAATACAATATCTATTTTTGTGAAGTCTCTAAACAATATTTAAGTCTTTATTTTCCCCCAAATACTAAGAAAAAGATTTTTCAAAGTAGATTACATACATATGCTATATTCTTGTGACATGCTTAGTGTAGTACTAATTAGATTAATGTAGAAAGTCATAATATTTTTTGTGGTACTTTCTGTGTTTACCCTTATAGATGTTAAGACAGATCTGAATTTACTGCTTGAATGCCTTAAATACCAAATGGACTGTCCCATGTCTCAGAAAGAGGCTTTGATAACCATTTATTCAATCTGCCAACAAAACAGTAAGAAACATTTTATCCTAAGCATATTTGCCTTAGAAACATTGTGGGGTTTTTTTTCCCTATATACGTCAAGGACATTTCCTTTCACAAAAAGATTACATTTAAATATTATAAAACTTGCAGATGTGAATTCTTGAAGATTTTTCAATTCCACAGAAGCAAAATTTTTTTTGTTTGTTTTTTGTTTCCTCTGCTGTAGGTGAAGCAAGTGAATATTTGCGAGAAATTGGTGGTTTGATGTTTATAAATGACCTTGCAAAGTCAAGTATTCATTGCATAGTGAAAGAAGCAGCTTTATTTACATTAGGAATTATAATAGAAAGTAATGGTAATAAATGCTGTTATTTATAATTCTGAATGTGTTTTCATGTCCTATTGATTTTGTTCTGGTATTGTCATCTCTTCATGATTTTCTCCATCAAACCTGAATTACAAGAATATTAACTTGAGTAAGAGGCACTAAAGGTGCCTTAAATATAGTTTAAATGATTAGTCCCAGATTTGGAAAAATCCCTCTTTGGTTTGAGTATTTCTGCTCCTCAGGATTTGTGCAGACAGCCTGTCTCTGTGATAACAGACAGGTCTCTGCCTGTTCCTCGTGAATGTGCATGATGATTGAGATGGACAATTTTGCCTAGGATGAACATTGTTTAAGACGGGTAACAGAGGGAAGTTCCTCTCTAGCCCCATGTAGGCTCCATTCACAACACACTGCGTCTGAGATGCTAGTAACTTTATTATGAAAATAAAGATTATAAATGACTTTTGGACTTGGTATTTTTATTTTCTGTTTCAGTTTACTGTCAACAAACTCTGTGTACACCTGCATTATTTGAAGATCTTATTTCATTTTTAATGAATAAAGATTCTGGTGTGAATTTGAAAAGAATGTCTGTTTATGTCATCTTAGTACTAGTTTCAAATAACAGTAAGTTTTTTTTTCTTGTTTTATAACTTCAGTGAAAACCTTTAATTGTATGTTTTTGTTTGACAATCTACATTACTTAGTATTCCAAGTTTCTGTATTGTCCTGTTAAGGTTCAAGTAGGAAATTGATCATCCTTTACTTGGAGTTTCTGAGCAAAGAAGTAGAGGTAGCAGAAAGTAGTTGATTTCTAAAGAATCTAACTATGGTTTTCAGGAAAAAAATGATGCAAACCAGTAATTTTTGAAAAAAAATATAGGAAATATTAAATGTATAGAAAGAAGTAGAACATTTTTGCCAGTGTATTTATGTGCTTTTTTTATTCAGATTTTTTAGCAATGTGTGGACTTATGAAATGGAGATAGAATGTAAATATGCAAATGCAGTTACAATATTAAGGTTTTATTCCAAGCTGCACATGTCTTTTGATTCTGATATATATTCATTTTTAGAAAATGGACAAACATATGTCAGAGAAACAGGTTGCATTGGTCTTCTGCTACAGCTATTCAGGTAAACAAACACTGTAGCAATTAAGACAGAAAAAAATGATGGTTTATTCAGAAGTTGTTTGCTTTGTTTTTCTTAACAGAACAGCTCTTTCCATATCTGAGATTAATCTGTCAGATGAAAATATTAATCAGTGCTATCAGCTGTGGTCTTCAGTCTGCAGTACGCTTTGTGCCTGTGTTAATAATCCTCAAAATGGTAAATATTGTGATTAAAATGCTTACACATATCTGAAGAAAACTTTAAATATTTTTCAAAAGCAGCAACAGTTTGTTTTTATTTTTATTATTCCAATGAAACAGTATATTACACTTTGTTAGGGGTTATTTGTTGTTTTTTACTTTCCCAGAAGATAATCAAAATATTTGCTGTTCAGTCTTTTCGTACGCAAAAGAGTGGCTGGAGAGTTGCATAGAGCCTGAGATAGTTCGTCCTATCTGTTCATTTGTTGGACTCACAGTTGCAAATAACTGTAAGTATAGTGCAGGCTTTGAACTACATTTATTTTGTAACAGTAAGCCTCATTCTGCAGTTAAATGCATGATTTTTTCTTTTTGTCCATATCTACAAGCTTATGTTCTGTTCCGATGACTGTAAGTCACTACTTTAACGTGCTTGTGCTTAAGTTCATGAACAGCCTCACTGGTTACAGTTTAGTGAGGGGCAGGAAAAAAAAAAACTATTTTACTGTAAAGGTGTTTGGAAACTGTTTTGATCAGAACTATTTTACAAATTGTAAGCCATTAATGCTGTTTTGAAAATGATTGAAATTTAATAGATCTCAGACATAATGTTTATTCTTAGTATGGATGTATTAGAACTGCATATTTCCTGTTATTATAAGGTCATTACTAAATTGCTCAAGATTAATACATATCCAACTTCAGTTATGTTGCATGGTTGGAAATGGAAGGGTTAATATGTGCATACAAAAATCATGATGAGCCTAAGTCGTAACAAAATGCTAAAGCAACTAGATACGTGTATGATTTAATTCACATTTTATTCCTTTTTCATTAAGCGTATGTACAGAAATATTTTGCTTCTGTTAGAGGATTGGATACATTAGCAAAAGTGCTCACAAAGTTGCTGCATGATTCATGTGAGAGCCAGTGGAGTACAAAACTTGCAGTAGTAGTGACAAAGACTCTGGATGCCTGCATTGCTAATGACTGTGAGTGAAAGGACCATTTTTTAATCTGGTATTTCTAAATGGCAACTGTTTAGTCTTGAAGGTCTAGTCTTGAAGGTAAAGTTGTATGGAAGGATGATAAAAAAGAGCAGTTATATCCATTCCAGGTACAATTTATATTGTAGTATTTTTAAGATCCAGACTTGTGTGGTGGGAGTGATTCAGTGTTCTGGCATCTGAGGTGAATTGCTTTGTCTTTGTGGCTAAAATAAAGATGATGAAATTTATACTGAGAATCAAAAATAAGATACCAGAGCTATTTTGTGCCAGTAAAGCTGAGAACTGGACACTAGTCAGCTTGGATCCTGGAGCTGTAGCACTGTACTTTTGCAGCCCTGTGTCTAAGCTAATAAGCTTATAAAATAAGCTGTAGGAGGCTTTATCAACTCAGCTGTTGATCTAAAGGAGTGTGGTATGTGAATATGGCTTCTGGCCCACCTGCATACTAGCCTAAGGACATCTTTACAGTGGAGAACATGAAGTTTTGAGAAAGTTTCTCCACTGAAGTTTTGAGAAATCTGTGAACCTGATAAATCTGCCTTGTGGTCCACAAGCAGTTTCTTGCATGTGCCTTAAGTGCCTCAGTTGCTATATTCTTGAACTGGCAAAGGATATGAAGCAACTCTGTACAGATCTGCAAATCAGGAATGCTGTAAAGTTCTTGCTTTTCAGAGCTTCTACCAGACTTCTATGCAATGCAGTCTGGGGAAGGGGGAAGACGCTGTTTCATCTAGGTAGAATTATTGGACCAAGAAAGTGTTAACACTAAACTGCATGTGTGGGTGGGGGATATGTTAAGGGAGAAGAATGTGCAGTCCCAAAGCTTCTGGAGATCTGAGTCTCCTGGGGAGGGGGAAGAAGGATTTCATGTTTGGTTGGCACTTATATCTTTGTGATCTGGTTAATTTTTCTTCAATTGTTTTCACCATAATAGCTAATATGGGGGTTGTCTTGGCAAAGTATCACACTGTGTCAGAGCTACTAAAGCTGCTGCCTAATGATACTCTGGATACAGGAGAAAAAATTAGTATTATTCTAACAATTGGACACTGCACTGAAGTTTGTGGTAAGATATATTTTTTCTTCTTTTCTATTTTTCTTTTTATGAATTCTGAAGTTAAGGTATGTATCAGTCACTCTCTTTAACTTAATGGAAAATGTCTTTCAAATGTAAGTATGATTATCCTACAGAAGAAAAGTTTCTCTTAAAATGTCAACACTGACAAAATAAAGGAACCAATAAATGATGAAATGTGATTGTGCTTTATCAAGTTTAGATAATACAACTATTTTTACAAGTTGTTTATTTTATAAATACATGCTGGAGAGAAAGAGAAAAAAAAAAAGCTTTATATTCCTTTGCCACTTCTTATTTTAGAAGAAAATCAGTACGAATTGCTTAAGAACAACGGTCTTCCACTTATGATTCAAGTGTTAACTGAGTCTCAGGACGAGGAACTAAACAAAGCTGCTACTTTTGTGCTGCAAAACTGCAAGCAAATGAGTAAGCCTCCTGTTGTTGTTTAAAATGTGAAATGGGTTATTCTTTGTATTTAAGTTCTATTGACTTTCCAGATACTTAAAGTGTACCCACTTTGTTATGCTGTATAAATCAATGTTTTTTTTTCTCTGCAGAGCAATTGCATATTTACCACATTTTTAAAAGAGATTATATTTGATCGATTGATTATATTTGATATATGATTATATATCAGTTTTTAAGAAAATATATTTTGCTTAAATTACTTTGGGGGACTGTCCCTCAGGATACTAAAATACAATTAATATTTATATTAAATTATTTAGTGATAAAGTTTGGAGTATTAATATTGTTTTATAATTTATAAAGCTGAACAATTGTCCCTGAAAATAAATGAGAATTCGTTGAACGCCAACAGTGCAGAAGAGTTGGAAGTAGATCTACAAAGGAGAGAAAGAACTCTACAAGACTACTGGAAGAAAGCTAAAGAAATTTTACACAGAATAAACTTGATTGAGAAAGAACATGATGAGGTTGGCCTATTTACCAAAACTAAGCAGATGAGGGAATGGAACATCTCTCGTATGAAGAGAGGCTGAGTGAGCTGGGCCTGTTTTCTCTGGAAAAGAGATGGCTCAGAGGGGATATGATTAATATGTATAAGTTCAGGAAGGGAGAATGCAGGGAGGAAGGGGACAGGCTGTTCTCACTGGTGGCCAGCGATAGGACGAGGGGTAATGGCCACAAGCTGAAACACAAGAAGTTCCGTCTCCAGGTGAGGAGCAACTTCTTTACTGTTAGGGTGACAGAGCAGTGGAACAGGCTGCCCAGGGAGGTTGTGGAGTCTCCTACTCTGGAGGTCTTCAAAACCCGCCTGGATGCCACCCTGTGCCACATGCTGTAGGTGTGCCTACTTGAGCAGGAAGGTTGGACTAGATGATCTGTAGAGGTCCCTTCCAACCTTAAATATTCTGTGAATCTGTGAATCTCCTCAGAGTCTAAGGAGAAATAGGAAGTAAACCTTTAAGATAATTTGAGTGTGAGCTAGAAAAGTATGGAAAACACTGGATGCATGTAAAACTACATTCCCTAAATCTTAAATTTGCCATTACTGTGAATCATACCAAGCTAGAAGTATATAAAGCAATTGGGGAATGTGAACATCTGCATTTTCAATGAAATGTTTTAGTTTATAATAAAATTACCTCAATTTTATGAAAAGTGTAATTTAGATTGCAAAACTAGTCAAATATTTTTTAAATTTCTCATTTTGAATTTATAATTTTTAACATTTGCATACAAGGAATGGCTGTGACTGTACAGTTAGTGTAGCTTACGTACAAATGTGAACATAAGGTTTTCTTTATTTCTGTTGTATACCTACTTATCTCTGTAGAGTAGCAAGTTTTTGATGTAGTTAATTCAATCTTAATTTCTGGAAGTGATCTGTACTAGTACCAAATCCACCGATAACCACTCCTTGCATCTTCTGTATGTTCAGCATCTTCTGTATGTTCAGCAACTTTGCTGTTTCACTAGCCTTCAACTCAGCCTGGGGCTTTTGAAGTTCTGAATGCTTTACCTTCAGAGGTGTACTGACCTATTCTAATTAATCTTTCTGGATTTGCTTACTATTTTTATAGACCTCATATAATCGCTAACTAGTATTTTTCAATACGGGAAAGAGTACAAAGAAAAATATTTGTTGACAGATCTTCAGAAGTCAGTACTGAGACATCAAAATACCACGAAATGAATACTAATGACCCTAAAAATCAGATGGAAAGAACATATAGAGTACACTATCCACATTTAATTTGCAAGTCAAATAAGTGGGTTCTTGCCCTACCTGCAAATTCTCTGCCATTGCAGAATGAAATTCTGAAGAGTATGAATCCAGTAAATGCTTCTACTGGACACCATGAACAGGATAATATTCCGTGTTCAGCTGAACTGCAAACAGACCATGTACTTCAAAGTCACAGTATAAATGAAGAAAATACTCGTGAAAAACAACAGTCAGTTCAAGTAAGGTATGTACTTTATATGTGAGCAGAAATAATAACTTTTTTTCCCTTGGTAATTTCCAAAGTGAGCGTCAACCATGTTACATAATGGTTACTAACTTTATGTTTTTCTGCAAGTGAAGAGAGCTTTTTGGTTGCCTGCAGAAGAGCACTGTGGAAATGTTTTTGGACATCACAGATCAAAGATCATAGACAGTTGCTGCAGTGAGAAAAGCTTTTTATCTTTTTTTCCTAATGGGGAGAAAATCTGACAGATTATATAGAGAGGCAGTTATTGGTCATGTTGTATTGCTTTGAGCATAAGGATGAAAAAGTATTTATACTTTCCATCACAAAATTCACACTTACTTAGCAGATCAGACTAACCCATTTATTTGGATGAAAATAGGGAATCTTCTAGGATATGTACCAACTAGAAAAACTTTTGAGAACTGCTCTGCACAAAATTGAAATTCTATTGCTAGCAAAGTGGAAATAAAGGCGGTTTGCTTGATTCCCTCCTCTTCTTGAATTACTTTCTTGCTTGGGATGAAAAAGATACAGCCTTGTACTAACATTTTCTATTCTCATACTTCGTGTATCAGTTTCACACAAACTGATGGTTATCTTTCATGGTTCTTTCCTATTCATAAAAGAAAAAAAAAGTAATAGCAATTTGCAAGAATAAATACAAATTCAAGTACTTGGAATTTATCTTTTGCATATTCCTCCCCACCTCCCGCCTTTAGACAATGGCACTATAAAAGCCACATTATTTCTCCCTTTTTAAGTTCTACATTTAGTGTGGTGGGGGGTGTTTTTATTTCATTTTTTTCTTATGTCTGGCTGGACTATACTTCTGTGCACTGTCCTACCATATATTATACTGCGGTTTTGCAGCTACCACTGAATTTATGGGAATCACAAGGTTCCATGGTCAGGTAACTTCTGCTTTGTTGCTGATGGGCATAATTTCATACACGTTCTTTATTTGTTGTTCTGATCTTTAAAATACAAATCTTTTAAGAAGTTTTTTTCTGGGTGGAGGGAAGCCTCTCACCTGGTGTGTGGATTTGTGTGAAAAGGGGAATTGCCCAAGTGTGACCATGGATGAGGCTTCTTGCTCCTGCAGCCTTTAGAGGTAGTTTGTGACACAAATAGATCACAGCTCTCTCATAAACAGATTTCTAATACGGTAGTGCCATGCTGAATACATCTAACCTATTGATTTGGAATAATATGAATCAAGTTTTATTTGTATAATATATTATACTTTTTTGCCTTTGTAGATTATGTATTAATTTACGATTAATTGTATATTTTGAAGGCTGTTTTTAAATCTGTGTGTTCTTCATCTTCCTAGTGAACAGTTGTTTAAACAACCAGCAAAGATTGTTAAAAATCTGAAGCAGGCATGCACATCAGGTACAAATAGTTAAGTATATTCTCTGTTACTGATGTAAAATTACTGTAGCAAAAGATAGACTGAATTTTCTTTCTTAATTTTTTTTTTCTTCTTAATTTAGATCAACATTCAACCTATACAGAGATAACCAAGGGAAAAAAAAATATTTTGATTACATCTTCATCTCTTAGAACAGCAGACTCAAGGTGTTTAGGTAAATATTATATTGGGCCTTTTCTTCCCTGATTTCATAAAAGATGCTGGCTAGGGTCAGTAATTCAGTAAATGTTTTGACATTATAGAAATTCTTACATATTTATTGGATTAACTAGTGTGCAATTTTTAACTGTTTTCCTTTCCACCTCTGAAGTAAACTATAAATGTTGAAATAACTTGCAAAGTTAGGTCTGTGTATCTTTATCTAAGACAAATTTACTAATAAGCAGAATATAAAGCAGCTTAAAAGAACAGAAAGAACACAAATATACTTTAGAACACTTTTTTTTCCTGTTTTTTTTTCTTATCAAAGGTAGCAAAAAGTTTAACCTTGCAAAGTTTCTAATTGTTTTATGCTTCCAGCTATTGTGTAGCCCTTCAAGTTTTCCTGCCTTTCTCCTCTTAAGTTCAGGCAGTCTGTTCTGTAGAAATCCTTGACTCCAGCCTTCAGTTACCCCATGTTCTGCTTCTTGAACTCAATCCTGCAGAAGCTTATGCGAATGCTACTCAAGGTTTATAAGGGGATTTTTGTAATCAACCCTGCGACCTTAAATAAAAGCCCACAATCCAGTTCCGGGCATGATGTAAGATAAGTCATAGAATGGAAGTTGTCCAGGTGGATTCAGCCTGAGCTCTAGCAATACTTTATCTCCGGCTAAAATACTGTGAAATGTCCCTGTACCCTTCCTCATGTCCCCTGACGGGATGAAGGCTCTTCAGCTGACTGTAACTAAACGTAAATCGCCATAGGGTATGTCCTCAGAAACAAGCAGGGAGGCTTTGCTGTGAGGAAATCCATACCTCTGTTCAAGTTACTATTCATCAGGTTAATGCAGATAATTGCTAAGATGTAGAGAAAAGACAACTTCTATATTTGGCCCTCATAAAAAGAACCTGTTCTCGTCCTCTCGATATGCTTTTACTTTGTGAAAGTGCAGTATAACTTGCACACGTAGGTCATGTTCAAACATTTTATTAGCAACTGCAAAACAGAAAATGCATTTTTTCAAAAAGATACAGAAAGGCCTACGCTTTTCTTGAGATGCATATATTAAAAATTGGAAGCCAAATTATAGATTATAATGAGCAAAATAATGAAGATGCTGGATTTGATGTGTCTGCTGTAGCACTCATGCTTGTGGTTTATACAATATACTGTTTTTTTCCAGGATGTACAGCACAAGGCCAGTCCTTCAATAGCAAAACGTTTAGCAAGATGTTGGAAACTTGTCCATACCTGTGTGATTGTCACAAAGTTATTCTGGAAGCTGAAAAAAGATATAAAAAGGAACTTACGAAGTTGACTGCTTGTAACAACAGTAGTTATGCAGCTTATGACAGTAATAACTTTTTTTTAGTAGTTGTAATTATTGTTTTAAATAATTTTTTTGGCTTGATTCTGATTTTCCAACTCTTAAAAATGATGTTCTAATTTGTTTGAGATTTGTACTAAATGACATTTGAATTTGCTACTTTTGAGAAGTAGCTATTTCTTGGCATTAGTGATGCATCCTCGTTAGAGGTTTTGGTGAGACTGTAGGTCCATTTTGCCATGGTTAGTGAAGTATTAACAGAAATAAATGTATTAAGTTGAAATAAACATGAATAACCTCCTTACATTTTAACGTTCCATCCTAGTGGATGAGAGGACTAAGTCTTACTCTATTAATAAAGTAGTTAAAGGAAAGTGTAGCCTATATTTTTATTTTAAAATATTTTTTAATTGAGCAATTACTGCCAGTATTTGCACTAGCATACATCTTATACTTTCCAGAAATACTGTTAACGCCAGTAAATAAAGGAAGATTGCACAGAGAGACATCAACTTTTCAGAGGAGAAAGGAAAATTTCCAAAGTAAGGCTCCACTTCTGAAATTCATGTAATTAATATATCTGAGTGCTTCTATTGCAGGACCTTCAGAAGAATATTTGAATAGAGATTGTGTGCTTGCTGTGAATACTGTCAAGATTCTTACTGTGAACAGGACAGAAAATACACATTCTGTAATCAATGTTAACTTGGTTGTTAACTAATGTGTCTACTTGGCACTTGCTCTATAGATACCAATTTGAATCCTCTCACTTACATGCCCTCCACTATTTTGGGGTTTTGTGACCTTAATTTTTAAAACAGTGATACACAGACAGGATCTGATCATAATGTAGTTTTACGTTGCTGGGTTCAGTATCATTCTACTCTACCTTTATAGCAGTGTTACCCTGTTATGCTTGTTTCTGCATCTGCCTGAAGCTCTGCTAAGGAATTGAATCTTAGATAAATTAGATAAAGAAATTAGATTAGACAATTAGATAAAGAAAGGTAAAAATTAAATAAAAATAGTAATGCAAGTGAAAACTACATACCAGAAAACTAAATAAAGGAGCTCTACTTCACTGTCTAGCATGAGGAGCTGAATAAAATTTTACAGATAAGCTAGAGATGCAAAAGTAAATTTCATTTACATTATACATTTCTGATAATAGATTGATTTTTATTCAGATTCACAAATTAATTCATTTGACTGTGGTAGACATTGAAATTTTTAAAAATAACTGATTATTTCATCTCAACATAATTAAATTTAGCAAATAAAATGATCTTTTGAAGTAAAGACTGGATTTTTCCAGTCTTTCTTCCAAGATCAGATAGCAGTACAGCTCAGAAGATGGTTTTGCCTTAAATTTTAATTCCTAAAATATTACCTGTGTTTTATGCTTTTTCAAGAAAAAAAAAGACACGGCTTTTATCGTGTGTGTGTGTGTTTTTTTTAATTTAGGTGTACTTTTGACTCCAATTAGAAAAAATAAAAATGATGCTTCAAATAGAGATGAACACAATAATACATGGATGACTGAAAAGTATAACTTAATACCTACATATGAAAGATGTGAGTATCACAGGAAAAAAAAATCATTTGTACTGCCAGAAAATTAATTTGTATGATTTAAAGATGATGTTCGCCTTTTAGGTCAGGACATTGATAGGAGCATCTAGGCTTGAAACTGGAGAAAAATGGCTGAGAATTTTAATACTTTTTTTTTATATTTTCAGTCATAGTATTGTTTATGTTTATTTTGAGTAGATTCCTGTTATTTGTTAGCTGCTTCTAAAGCTTAAATCAATTTAGTATGTTAATGTCACAATGATGACAAGATGATACTTCTTTGCTTATTTGAATATTAGTAACTATTAATAATGCAATATTTATTTTCAATGTTATTAGAAGAAATATTCCTTCAAAGCATGACATTTTACAGCAGATTTCAGTGAGTTTAAAATAACTATAATGGGCTTATTCACAATTTTATAGCTCTTCAAATAAAACAAGACACTAACTTGAAAAGACAAAGTCAAATGTGCAAGCAAGAGTATCAGTGTTTACAAAAAACACCTGTATATATTCACTTGACAAAGATGAGGTAAGTTGTGTGCCTAATTGTAACCTCACATATTTATAGGTGTCCAAATAAAATCACAGTGAATTGTATAATTTCTTTTAAAGTCACTTTTAACAGCAGGCCAGTACCAACTGTGCAGTGTTTTATGTCAACGTGTTTTTTTTTTTTTTTTTTTTTTTTTTTTTTTTTTTTTTTTTTTTTTTTTATCTCTCCTTACAGAGGTAGGGAAAAAAACAAAGCTCATCAATAACATCTTTCAACAGTATTTTGTATTTAGACACAGAATGAAGAACAGCAAAATTAAGTGAGATATTGTAATAACATGCTCTGTTGGAGTTGTTTTAGGCTGGTGTGGACTCATGTTTTTCAGTGCTAACATTCACTTACAGTAATTGTTAGGCTTTGCAAAATCTAAATTTAATGTAATTAGTTTTTTTTTTAATAATACTAATGTATCTGAAGTAAAATCTTTACCAGTAAAAGGTTGCTTTTGTTTGTTTGTTTTATTCTTAGCCTCCTCTATCATTTCATTTATGTGGTACTTAACCTGGCTTTTTGTTTGAGTCTTTTATGGTTTTGTGCCATTTGTAAGAAAAGGTTATATTGCTAAAATAAGGTGATGTTAATGTTGTTGTGTATTTTTTTTCCTCCTAATCAGTGGAATGTTTACAGTAGCTAAAATACTTTGTCAGGTATTTGATGTACTCTGTATATATAGGAAAATAGAGTATACTGATAGAAGATTTGATGAGATGTTTATTCTGGGTTATGCAGTCAGGTCAACAATTAGGAGAAATTGCTTTAAAGTAGAATTATTTAAGAGTAAGAAAAGGTCACAAAAGATTCCAGTAATATAATTTTTTAAATAAAAATGCTAATAACTATTGAACTTGAACATACAAGTTACAGAGAATACAAAAGAAATTCCATGTGCTAGAGAGATTCCTAGACAGCAGATTGGGAATTTTCAGAAAGAAGAGCAAGTTTTACTTTTTTTTTTTTATTCCTGTTTGTAATTAATTCTATATAAGACTAAGTAAATCTATGACAGAAAGCACTGAATAGATATTTGTACACTGACAAACCTAAGTAGGTAAATCTTATATTGTTACAATCAATAAGTTTAAAGAGCACGTGGAAATGCCGTAACTTGTGAATAAAAGATTTGTGTTGTCCAGCTAATGTATTTCCTGAATATTAATAATTGTGAAGATATCTATGGACCTATGTAAAATAGTTTGATGTTTAACCAAATAGAATGCAGATACTGACTTATTTTTAGTTTAAAAGTGAAAGACTTAAAACTGGCCTGATGCTATTATAATAAATAAGTCTTTTAATGTTCCTGCAATCATATTTATTATGTTACTAATATTGAAGCATGTTCATAAATCTGAAAGTTGTATTGAGATACCTTTGGCAAAGGTCTGGTCCTATAAACATTTCTGAATGGAGCTATTCAAAGTGATATACTTAAACTTTGGCATATGTATTTGCAGTATGTGAGCCAAAGGAAATGACATGGGAGTGGTGCACACAACAGCAGGACTTGCTCAGCTGTTTATCTTTCCAGGGACCCAAAAGCTAATCTAGATAAACTTTGACTTAACTCTGTCAACGTGTATACTTTTAGGAAATCCCTATTTTTCTGCCCTAACTATATTTCAAAGGGAGAGAATATATAGGTCTTGGGAATAATTCACATTGGAAAGAACCTACCTCCTTCTTCAAAGCTGAACTACTGCTGCAGTGGGATCAGCTTGCTCAGCGCCTTATGAACTTGGGTTTTGCAGGTCTCTGGTGGTGGAAATCTGTCACCCTCCAATGCAATGAGGTGGAGTGCTGTGGGAACCTGTGCAAATAGGTTCCTCTAGTTGTCACATTTTAATTTTACAATTTTGATTTTCTTTGCATAAGATGCTTTGAAATCGATATATAAGATTAATTACACATCTATGTGTAAGAATGACTAATAATTTTTAGGCTGCTTAAGCTACCCAGCACAGTATGTTAGCACTTTGAAAAGCTCAATTCACTGATACCTGAGCTTGCATAATGAAGGAAAAGACATTTACATAGAAAACTGCAGTGGCCTCCTTAGCCATAGAATGAGAAAGGGGGATGCAAGAAGAAAAAACTAGTTTCTGTGGAATGAAGCTGTACCCTCTAGGATCTCACCGAATGCTATACGTGCATTCAGTTGCTACTGTAAGGAGTTTAGAGTTACTTAAAAAAATAACTCTTAAAGGACTGCTGCTCTGTGCTGCGTCACGGCGCGCTCTCCCCCAGAGTACTGCCCTTCTCGCTTCCCTGGGCGCTGCCGCGCGACCGTTAAAC